GTCATCCCTAGAACAACCACTGAAAACTGTACAAAGAGATTCAGACAACTCAATAGATCAACTAAAACATGTTCAGATAACCCAAAAGAGGGCAGGAGGAGGAAAGCCGAAACAACAACAACAAACAAAAGAAACAAATATTAAAACAGCAGACCTGCCTGGGTGTGGTGTCACGCACCTGGAATCCTAGCACTTTGGGAGGCCGAAGCGACAGGATCGCTTCAGTCCGGGAGTTCAAGACCAGCCTGGAAGACATAGGGAGACCCCGTCTCTCTACAAAAAAAAAAAAAAAAAAAAAATAGGGGAGGGACAGTGGGGGTGGGGAGTTGGGGAGAGATAGCATGGTGAGAAATGCCAGATATAGGTGATGGGGAGGAAGGCAGCACATCACACTGCCATGTGTGTACCTATGCAACTATCTTGCATGTTCTTCACATGTACTGCAAAACCTAAAATGCAATAAAAATGTGTGTGTGTGTGTGTATATATATATATATATATACACACACACACACACACACACACACATATACCTCCCACTTAAATTTAAAAAAAAAATTAGCTGGGCGTGGTGACATGTGCCGGTGTTCCAGCTACTAGGAAGGCTGAGGCAGGAGGATCACTTGAGCCTAGAAATTGGAGGCTGCAATGAGCTATGATCACATTATTGCACTCCAGCCTGGGTGAGAGTAGACCCTGTCTCAAAAAAGAAAAACAAATTCTCCATACACAGTAGAAAAGGAAGAAGTGGCTATTTCTGCTCTCCACATGAAAATCTCCACATGAAAATCTGTTATATGACAAGACTTGGAAATCATCACTTGGAGCCCAGTGGGAGTGAGACTATAGTTACCCCCTCCAAGTTCAGATTGCCCCTCCTACCTTCTGCCATAGGAGGGGACTGGTGGTCTGGTGATTATGGTTGGGGGGTGATTGGGGGCATCGGATATAGTTTCCCAGACACAATTCCTATTGACAGTCTCCCTCTACTTCCCACCCCCCCACCCCACAGCCCTCTTCCTGCAGAGGCACCTGGTGCCACAAAGAATCTTGCTCCCAGCAGGTCTGCATCTGAGCCTTCTGGTCTACCAAGCCAGCTGGCATGTGTCTATCACCTTTCCTGCTACCAGGATTTTTTTTCTAAATCATCTGCTGTGTTCTCTGAGGGTTGATGCCTCTTTTACACCGTTTCTGTCATTTTAGTGGGCTTTGGGGAGAGGGTGCAGGTAAATGCCTGTGTGCGGTTTTGTTTTTTTTCCTGTTTTAAAAGATAACCAGTAGTCAATGCAGAAAATCACATAAACTTGTCACATTGTAGGACACTGAAAAACAAGAAAGATCACTTAGAATTCCCCAGCCAGTCAGGAGTCCAAGACCAGCCTGGCCAACATGATGAAACCCTGTCTTTACTAAAATATAAAAAATTAGCCAGGCGTGGTGGCTCACGCCCGTAGTTGCTACTTGGGAGGCTGAGGCAGGGGAATTGCTTGAACCCGGGAGGCGGAGGTTACAGTGAGTCGACATCGCACCACTGCACTCCAGCCTGTCAACAGAGCAAGACTCCGTCTCAAAAAAAGAAAAGAATTCCCCAGCCAGACATAGGCAGTGTGTTAATGTCCTATTAGTGCTAACAAATTACCACAAACTTAGTGATTTAAAATGCCACATTTACGCATTATGGTTGTGAAGTTCAGAAGTCTGCAATCACTCATGCCGAACTAAGGTCCAGGTGTGAGCAGGGCTGCGTTCCTTTCTGGAAGCTCCAGGGAGAATTAGTTTCTTGCCTGTCTAGTTTCTAGAGGCTGCCCCATTCATTGTCTCACGGCCCCTTCCTCCATTCTCAAAGACAGGTGTCTAGTGTATTCCAGCCTCTCTCTGATTCTCCTTCCATCATCTCATCTCCCTCCCTGACCCTCCTGCCTCCCTCTCATAAGAACCCTTGTGATGACACTGGCCCACACAGATAGGCTGGGATTATCTCCCCACAGCAGGATCCTTGATTCTATCACAGCTGCAAAGTGTTTTGCCATGGAAGGCAACATAGCCACATACCCCCTTCCTTCCTTCCCACCTTCCTTCCTTCCCACCTTCCTTCCTTCCCGTCCTCCTTCCTTCCCCCTTCCTTCCTTCCTTCCTGCCCTCCTTCCTTCCCCACTTCTTTCCTTCCCCCACTACCTTCCCTCATTCCTTCCCTCCCTCTCTCCTTCCCTCCCTCTCTCCTTCCCTCCCTCTTTCTCTCCTTCTTTCCTTCCCTCCCTCCCTCCATTCTTTTCCTCCCTCCCTTTTTCCTTCTGCTTTTTTTAAGGAAGCAGGATTATATAATAGTATTTTTGAAATCTGCTTTTTATTAAGCAGTATTGGGAACTTCATCCTTAATTATCCTTCAACACGGTATTGAATTTTGGTGTGATATCCCATTATAAGGACATAAAATGGTTTACTGAACATATTCACTAAGTGCGATTTCAGGATTTTGCCTTTTTGTCCCAGTTGTAACCTCAGTTACAGAGTTCATTGGGTGTGCCTTGCACTTAGATCTTTGCACACATCTCTGCTCATTTGCTCAGAATAAATTCCTTATTATGGAAACCCTGTAAGCAAAGGAGTCCAGTGGGATTTTGACTTCCGTGTAACTTTTTGTCCTACATACTGGGTAGCTGGCATCATTTGCCTTTTGGCAGCCTCATTTCTTACACAGGTTCCATTTGAAGCTGTCCCTGATCTTAATAGGTCAGTTTCACACACCAAGAATCACCCCACATCTTCCACTCATCTTCCCTACCTATACTGTTTTCCAAGAAGCCTGTAATTCAAGACTCAGCTAGAAAAAGGTCATTTCCCATGAACTAACAGTATCTTTCCCAGCTGGAGTCATGGCTTATGCCTGTAATCCCAATATTTTGGGAGGGTGAGACAGGCAGATCGCCCAAGCCTGGGAGTTGACCAGCCTGAACAACAAAGTGAGACTCCATCTCTACCAAAAATACAAAAGCTAGCTGGGCATGGTGGTGTGTGCCTGTGGTCTCAGCTACTTGGGAGGCAGAGGATGGAGGATCATTTGAGCCTGGGAGGTTGACTGAGGCTGCAGTGAGTTGTAATTGTGCCACTGCACTTCAGCCTGGGCAAGAGTGAGACCCTAAAAAAACTAAAATGAAAAGCCTGCATAGCCAAGACAATTCTAAGCAAAAAGAACAAAGCTGGAAGCATCACGCTACATGACTTCAAACTATATTACATGGCTACAGTAATCAAAGCAGCATGGTACTGGTACCAAAACAGAGATATAGACCAATGAAACAGAACAGAGGCCTCAGAGGGAATGCCACACATGTACAACCATCTGATCTTTGACAAACCTGACATAAACAAGCAAAGGGGAAAGGATTCCCTGTTTAATAATGGTGTTGGGAAAACTGGCTAGCCATAGGCAAAACCATTCAGGACATAAGCATAGGCAAGGACTTCATGACTAAAACACCAAAAGCATTGGCAACAAAAGCCAAAATAGACAAATGAGATCTAATTAAACTTCAGAGCTTCTGTACAGCAAAAGAAACAATCATTAGAGTGAACTGGCAACCAACAGAATGCGAAAAAATTTTGCAACCTACCCATCTGACAAAGGGCTAATATCCAGAATCTACAAAGAATTAAAACAGATTTACAAGAAAAAAGCAAATCCATTCAAAAGTGGGTGAAGGACATGTACAGACACTTTTCAAAAGAAGACATTTATGAGGCCAACGAACATATGAAAAAATGCTCATCATCACTGGTCATTAGAGAAATGCAAATCAAAACCATATTGAGATACCATTTCACATCAGTTAGAATGGCAATCATTAAAAAATCTGGAGACAACAGATGCTGGAGAGGATGTGGAGAAAAAGGAACACTTTTACACTGTTGGTGGGAGTGTAAATTAGTTCAACCCTTGTGGAAGACAGTGTGGCGATTCCTCAAGGACCTGGAAATAGAAATTCCATTTGACCCAGCAATCCCATTACTGGGTATATATCCAAAGGATTATAAATCATTCTATTATAAAGACACATGCACACGTATGTTCATTGTGGCACTGTTTACAATAGCAAAGACCTGGAACCAACCTAAATGCCCATTGATGATAGACTGGACAAGGAAAATGTGGCACATATACACCATGGAGTTCGTGTCCTTTGTAGGGACATGGATGAACCTGGAAACGATCATTCTCAGCAAACTGATACAAGAACAGAAAATCAAACACCACATGTTCTCACTCATAGGCGGGTGTTGAGCAGTGAGAACACATGGACACAGGGAGGGGAGCATCACCCACTGGGGTCTGTTGCAGGGGAGTAGGAGAGGGACAGCGTGGGGTAGGGAGGTTGGGGAGGGATAACGGGGAGAAATGCCAGATATAGGTGATGGGGCATGGAGGCAGCAAACTACTTTGCCATGTATGTACCTATGCAACAATCCTGCATGTTCTGCACATGTACCCCAGAACCTAAAGTGTAATTATATATATATATCTATATATATATATATATATAGATATATATATATATATATTATATATTATATATATATATAAATGAAAATAAATGGTGTCTTTCCTAATGCATGGGTTGCCAGTGGTCCTTCACAACTCAATCTCACCCTGGTGGATGCCACTTCTGCTCACACTTGTACTTATATATTGCTACTGCTTTAAAAAAAAAAGTCATTACCTGCAGCTGATATGGGTTAGACACCAGTTCTAGGGCTGATGGGGAGAGAAAAATTAGGAGACCATACAGATGTTGGAAGTGGACCCTGCAGGTCTATTAGCAAACATGCCCACCCTCCAAAGGCTGGCAGAGCAAAAGAGGCTACATGATGAAGCAAAAGAAGCAACCAAAGGGTGACAGCTGCAGTGACCTCAGGACCTAGGACTGAGACGTGGAGGAACAGGGTGACCAGTGGAATGTGGGGACAGAACTGAACGTTGAGGGAAGGCCTCAGAACTGGAAACCATGGGTACAGTGTTGATGAGAACTCCCAGCTGCCTGGACCAAAATCCAGTGTTGAAGAGCCAGGCCAGATGTCTGAGAGGAGCTATGTCCATGTCTGACCCGCTGGACGGGTAAGCTGACCGCCCTCCCCTCAAGCCGCCAGTTCACATGGAGACCATGTCACTGGGTAGTGGAGGTTCCTTCCTTCTTTATTGTGTTTTTTAAATTGTGGTAAAGTATATGTAACATAAAATTTACCATCTTACCCATTTAAGTATACAGTTTAGTGGCAGTAAGTACATGTAATTGTTGAGTAACTGTCATCACTGTCCAGCTCCAGAACTTTTTATCTTCCGCAAATGAAACTGTCCCCACCAAAGACGGACTCCCCATTACTTCCTGCCACCCCCTGGCAACCACCACCTACTTTCTATCTAGGAATTTGACTCTCTATTACAGGTACCTCCTGTGGGGAGCCAGACAGTATTTGTCCTTTTGTGACTGGTTTCTTTCACTCAGTGTAATGTCTTTGAGGTTCATTTGTGTGGTAGTCTGTGTCAGAACTTCCTTCCTTTTGAGACTATGGATAGAAATCATATTTCTGGTGTCAGTAGAGACCACATTTGGCTTCCACTGCCTGTGAGTGGGCACTTGGATTGCTTCCACCTTTGGTTACTGTAAATAATGTTGTTATGAACATGGGTGTAGAAATATGTCTTTGAGTCCCTGCTTTCACTTCTTTTTGGGTATACACCCATGCGCACGCACACACATACAAACACACATAAGGAGACATACACACACATATATATAAAACAATATCCATATTTGTACATTCCTTTGCATCCTTTTCCCACTTAACAGTGACAATTTCCTGTGATTAAAATGCTTTTGAAGACTTCACTGTAAATGGTTGAATAATATGCTATATCCCCTGGAATAATGAAATTTACTTAAGCACCCATATTGCTTCACATATTACTTATCTCCAGCTTTCTCTTATTCCCAATGCCAGCAACATCCCTGGTGAGCATCAGTGCCCAGACAGTTTGATCCCACTTCTCTGATTTGTCCACTAGAATTGATTCCAAGAAGTGGGAGATTGGGTCAGGAGACACCCATGTTTTTATTCTTGATAATATATATGTATTTTTCTGAGACGGAGCCTCACTGCAGCCTATACCTCCCAAGTTGAAGCGATTCTCCTGCCTCAGCCTCCGGAGTAGCTGGGACTACAGGCGTGTGACACCATGCCCGGCTAATTTTTGTATTTTTAGCAGAGATGGAGTTTCACCATGTTGGCCAAGCTGGTCTCGGACTCCTGACCTCAAGAGATCTGCCCTCCTTGGCCTCCCAAAGTGCTGGGATTACAGGCGTGAGCTACTGCCCCTGGCCTTACTCTTGACCGTAATTAATTAATACACTTTTATGTTTGTGTCTCTGTATGTGCACCATTTTTTCCAATTAAAAAAGTAATAGACTTTAAGACATGAAAAGAAAAATCACTAGTAATCCTAGCATTCAGATGCATCTTGTTTTTTTGTCTTCCCAGTATATCTTATGATGGGCAAAAATAAGATCATACTACTATATATACTAACAACTTTGTTATCTGCATTTTAGATTCAACCCACAATAGACATTTTCCCATGTTGCTAAATCTTTTTCTACTTTATTATCTGCAAAGTATTATAATGAATGAATGGCTTTGCTTTAACATATACTACGTAGTAGAGCATATTTATATGCTCAAATTAATCAATCTTCCATTGCTTGACAACTTTTTTATTGGAGATAGAGTCTTGCTATGTTGCCCAGGCTGGTCTCAAACTCCTGGGTTCAAGCAAGTTTCCCGAGAGAACTGTTTCGTGCAATATTTTTTATTATTTTCTTATTTTAAATAATCATGCTTATTGCAGAAATATTTGAAAATACCGAACAGCCAGGCACCATTAAAAAAATCACAATCTGAGTGTCATAAATGGACACAATATTGTATGAAAGAAACTAGTCACAATGGCTGGGCTCAGTGGCTCACACCTGTAATCCCAGCACTTTGGGAGGCTGAGGTGGGTGGATCACAAGGTCAGGAGATTGAGACCATCCTGGCTAACAGAGTGAAACCCTGTCTACTGAAAATACAAAAAATTAGCCGGGCATGGTGACATGTGCCTGTAGTCCCAGCTTCTCGGGAGGCTGAGGCAGGAGAATAGCTTGAACCTGGGAGGCAGAGGTTGCAGTGAGCCGATATCATGCCACTGCACTCCAGCCTGGGCAACAGAGCGAAACTCTGTCTCAAAAAAAAGAAAAAAGAAAAAAAAGAAAAAGAAAAAGAAGAAGAAACCAGTCACACAAAAGCATTGACAATATGATCCCCATTTTGAAAAACAGGCAAAATAGAAATGTGTGGGGGTGCATGCTGAGATGACAAAACTATGAAAGCAAGCAAAGAAGTGGGAATATTGTGTATCTGAAATGAAATGGTGGTTCCATGGGTGCTCACCCCACCATCATTCATTGAGCGGCACACTTGTGTGATTTTCTGTATGTGTGTGACCCTTCACCATCCAAATGGCTTACAAAAAACTCAGAACCTCTCAAACCCAGTTTAAAATGTCTCCTAACAGATTAGGATATAGCCTTTCAGTTCAATTTGTACCTCTGATTATATCATACATACTCTTTTGAAACATGTAATTTGTATTTGAAATATTATGGACATCTTCCTTTTGGTCACATAGAATGGCAACTAGAATGACTGTCATGAAAAACATTAAAAGTACCAAATGTGAGAGAAAATATGGAGAAACTGGAACCTCCATCATTGCTGGTAGGAATATAAAATGGTACAGCCACGTGGGAAAACAGTTTAGCAATTTCTAAAAAATTAAATGTACACTTACCACATGAACCACCAATTTCACTCCTAGGCATCTACACCAGAGAAACAAGGACATATGTCCATACAAGCTTTTATATTCAAGTGTTCATGACAGCATTATTTATAATAACCAAAATATGGCACCAACCCAAATGTCCAAAAGCTGATGAATGAACAAACTGTGGTCTATCCACACAATGGAATACCATTCAGCAATGAAAAGGGACAACATTCTCATACCTGCTACAACATGGATGACCCTTGAAAATGTGCCATGTGAAAAGAGCCACACAAAACTATTAACTCCTTGTATGATTCCATTTGTATCGTCAATGTTGGTGTATAGCTCCATCGCATGGACGTAGCATAAATTCTTTCACCAAGCCCTATTTTTGGATTTGATGTTGTGTCTCAGTTTCCAGTATTACAAACAATGCTGTGATGACCATCTTTGTGGCTACATATTTGTGGCCATCCTTAATTATGTCTTTACACCAATGCCCAGAAGTGGAACTGCCAGCCTTAAGGTGGGTGCATTTTAAGGCTTCTGGGAACTATTGCAAAGTGGCCCTGCACAGTTTGCTCAGACTGCACTCCCACCAGCAGAGCAAGAGGGTCCAGGGTCTCCTTTCTCCATTACAGCCCCTCCCTCCTGGCACTGCTCACCCTTGGGAGGCTGTTCCAGGTCCCAATCCTCCCCCCACCATGGTCTGTATTTGTTTGTAGTTTCCTGGGTGCACTGCCACCATAGTCTGGTTCTCCAACAATGCCAACTGCGGATTTTCAGTCTTCACCCTTGCCATCGTAGGATGGATCCTCTCCTCTGTGTCCATGGGCCTTGTGGAGTGGAGAACATGGTATGTGAAAGGCACCCCACTCCAACCCCCTGTGGTCACCTGCATGGGACTATTTAGAGTCTGCATTTACAAGCATCACACCAACAGGACCACAGCCATATTTTGTTACCTATACAGCTCTGAGGACACCTTTCTCCCTTTTGAAATTCACGTGGCTCAACGCTTCCTACTGACTGCCAGCATTTTCGGATTCCTTGGGAGACCCTTTAAAATCTTTGCACTTAGGAACATGTCCTTGGGACTATTTGGGGATGACACCTACAATTCATTCATTGTTTCAGGAATTCTCAACATTGCTGCTGGTATGTTTATCTTAATTGCTGTGCTCCAGAGCTACAATGCTGTCGTAAATTCAAAGGGGATCACCTTCTCACCGTCTCTCCAAATGCCCTTCAAGCCAGATGTGCAGGAAGTCGCCATGGCCATTCAAGTGGCAGGGATAGCTGTCTTCCTGATGCTACGTGGGATATTTTCTCTATTGTACAGATGCTCCCTATACGCCCAAATGCATCCTGAAATTTCAGAAATGTGAGTTTCCTGGTTGCATTGGCTTTGCAAACCCAAGATTTCTGGGAGTTTATGGGAATGTTATTAGCATGCTCTATGAAATATTTCCAAGGACTCAAGACCATGGAGTGGGTAGCTTGAGACAGAAGGTGACCAACTGCCTCCTTCTGTTATCTTGTGTATCTGAATGTGGTTCACTGATTTGTTGGTTGAATTGAGAACTTTTATTTAAAAAAAAATCTTCCCACCTGCCAGTTGGTCTTATTACAACTGGATTTTAATTATTGTTGGCTAGAGCAAATAACCAACACCATAAACTAAGGGTAGGGAAATAAGAGTTTCTGAGCACATTAACTTCTCACATCTCCCTCTTAAACTTTTGCTGAAAACAATCATAGACCAGGCATGGTGACGTACACTGTAATCCCAGCACTTTGGGAGGCTGAGGTGGGAAGATCACTTGAGGCCAGGAATTCAAGATCAGCCTGGGCAGCATAGCAATACTTGGTCTCTACAAGAAAAATTAAAAATAAAATAGCTGGGCATAGTGGTGCATGCCTGTGGTTCTATTTACTTGGGAGGCTGGGGTGGGAGGATTGCTTGAGCCCAGGAGTTGGAGGCTCTAGTGAGACATGATGGCACCACTGCACTCCAGCCTGAGCCACATAGCAAGACCCTGTCTCTTGAAAAACAAAAATCCAATAAACAAAAAACCAAGAATGGACCTTCTTTTCTATGTCATGGTAATAACATCTCCCTACCATATAAGTTCTCCAAAATGTGCAAAATTAGAGAGGATAACATAAATCTCCTCACGTGCATTGCCAGCTTCCACAGTTACTGAGATTCGGGCACTTCTGCTTTGTCTTTCCACTCTTTCCCCTTTCTAATCTACTTTTCTTTTTCCTAAGTTTGTTTGTTTATTTGTGGGGTTTTTTGTTTGTTTGTTTTGAGACAGTCTGTCTCTGTCGCCTGGGCTGGAGTGTAGTGGCGTGATCTCGGCTCACTGCAACCTCTGCCTCCCAGGTTCAAGCAATTCTCCTGCCTCAGCCTCACAAGCAGCTGGGATTACAAGCACCTGCTATCACGCCCGGCTAATTTTTGTATTTTTAGTAGGGACAGGGTTTTACCATGTTGGCCAGGTTGGTCTCAAACTCCTCACTTCAAGTGATCTGCCCAGCTTGGCCTCCCAAAGTCCTTGGATTATAGGCATGAGCCACTGTGCCCAGCCTCTTTTATCTAAGTACTTTAAAGCAAACCCCAGACACCGTGTCTCTTTATCCCCATATACTTCCATATTGAACTCTTAAAAAAAAAGTGGACACTTCTTGCATAACTGTATATGTAAAAATTGAGCAGTTATTTCTCATTATGAAATAGATGTTTAGACGCCTTAAAAATAATTCTGTACTTTTATTTGTCCCACACCAAGTGTTCACTCTGACTCTGAAGTGTTCATCTAAAACACTGCCCCCCCATTGCGTACGCATGTGCGCACGCACATGCGCACACACACGCGCACAGCAACCCGTCTGCCTTTTTTTTTTTTTTTGAAGCAGGGTCTTGCTCTGTCGCCCAGGCTGGAGTGCAGTAACATGATCAAGACTTGGTGCAAACTTAACCTCCAGGCTCTGGTGATCCTCCCTCCTCAACCTCCAAAGTAGCTGGGACTACAGGCATGCACCACCATGCCCAGCTAATTTTTTGTATTTTTGTAAAGATGAGGTCTTGCCATGTTGTCCAGGCTGGGCTTGAACTCCTGGGCTCAAGCGATCCTCTTGCCTTGGCCTCCCAAGCACTAGGATTACATGTGAGAACCACCGTGTTTGACCTCATCTGCCTTTTTAATAAATGATTTTAATTTGCTGAAGAAAGTGGATTCACTTAATTTCTTACCTCTAAAGGCTTGATTAGAGTCCTGGTCCATTCCCAGAGGAAGAGTATTTCATAGGTGGTACCATGTACTTCCTACTGACTGCACTATGCCAGGGGTACATGGTCATTATCCCTTTCAGTGATGCTAAGATTGGTCAGTGGATCAGTGAAGGGAATGCCTGATCCCTTTTGTAAGTTTCCTCATCAAACTTCCACCCAACCCTAATGGTTTCATCTACTGATGGTCCTTGTTTGAATAAACTATCACACTGAGAATTGTGAGTGGTGACCTTTCCCTTCTTCCATCCCTCCCCCTCACTCTCTCCCTTCTTCTTTCCTTCCTTCCCTTTTTCCTCCCTCCCTTCCTTCCTTCCCTCCTTTCCTTCTCTCCCTCCCTCCTTCCCTCCTTCTTTTTCTCTCCCTCCCTCCCTCTGTTCTTCCTTCATTCCCTCCCTCACTCCCTCCTCTCCCTCCCTTTTTCCCTCCTTCTCTTTCTCCCTTCTTCCCTTCTTCTTTCTCCCTCCTTCCCCAATTCTTTCCTTCTCTCCATTTCTCTTTCCCTCCTTCCCTCTCTCCCTCCCTTCTACTTCTCTCCTTCTCTCCCTCCTTCTCCTCTTCTTTTTCTCCCCTCTTCCTTCCTTCTCTCCCTCCCTCCTTCCCTCCTTTTCTCCTTCCCTCCCTCCCTCCTTTCTCCTTCTTTCCCTACCTCCTTCCTTCTTTCTCTTCTTCCTACAGGGATCTCTGTTCCCCAGGTTAGAGTGCAGTGGTAGGATCATGGATCACTGTAATCTCGCACTCTTGAGCTCAAGCAACCCTCCCGCCTTAGCCTCCTGTGTAGCTGGGATGACTGGTGGGTGCCACCATCCCCAGCTAATTTCTAAGAAGTTTTTGTAGAGATGGGGTCTTATTAGGTTGCCCAGGCTGGTCTTCCACTCCTGGCCTCAAGCAATCCTCCTGTCTTGGCCTCCCAAAGCTGCAAGTGGTGACTTTCTAATGTGAACATTCTTGCCAGATATATCAGCTGAATGCTTTTGTGTGAGGGCTATGCGGAGGCTGAAGTGGGAGACTCTCTTGAGCCCAGGAGTTGGAGACCAACCTGGGTGAAACTCCAGCTCTAAGAAGAATAAAAAGTTTTCCCTCATCAGCTGTGACTATTCAGTTACTCTAAAATCAGTGCATACACAAAAAAGGCAGAGTAAATGCTTCATTCTTTTCTCCAATTGTTTCTAGAGTGAAAAAGGAGAATGCTCTAGTTACCATTAGGGTTAACCAATGTATTGGTTGTTTTTATTATTTCTGTTTTCTTTTTCTTTTCTTTTTTTTTTTTGAGATGGGGTGTCACTCTGTTGTCCAGGCTGGAGTGCGGTGGTGCAATCTCAGCTCACTGCAACCTCCACCTCCCAAGCTCAAGCGATCCTCTGACCTCAGCCTCAAGAGTAGCTGGGACTACAGGTGCACACCACCATGTCCAGCTAGTTTTTGTATTTTGTAGAAATTGCATTTCACCATGTTGCCCAGGCTGGTCTCAGACTACTGAGCTCAATCTGCCTGTCTCGGTTCCTAAAGTGCTGAGATCACAGGTGTGAGCCACTGTGCCCAGCTTCTTTTTCTTTGTTGAGTATCAACTCAACCCTTGAGTATGAATTCATGAAATTGTTTCTGTGTTTTTATTTTGGAAATTTTCAAGTGCATTCCAAAGTAGAGAACCTATGGCCTCAGCCACAATGATGATCAATATCTGATCCGCCGTGTTTCAGCCCTACCCTTCCTCCCTGTCCCATCTCCAGCTTGGATGATTTTAAACAAATCCCTGGCAATATGTTATTTTATCCACAAATACTTTTATATGTATCTCTCAAAAATATAGACCTCATTCTTTTTAACATAACCACATTGCCACTATCACACCAAAAATTAACTTCTTTTTAAAATTCATTTATATATATATGTATATACACATACACACACACACACACAAATTGAGATGGGCATCTCGTTATATTTCTCATGCTGGTCTCGAAGTTTTGGGCTCAAGCAATCTGCCCACCTTGGCCTCCCAAATTGCTAGGATTACAGGCATGAGCCACCATGGCTGGCCAGTCACTTCTTAATGTATTCAAATACCCAGTCAGTGTTCACATTTCCCCAATTACCTCATAAATGTTTATAAGAGTAACCTGTGGGTTTTTATAAGTTCCAAATGTTTCACTCAATTGCATTCACCCTTCCCTTTTATATTCGAATTGTCCCATCTTTGGCAGTAAAGTCATGGTGGCACGTGTGTCCTTTGACATGTCCTCATTGGCTTTTATTTTTTAAGATTAAGAAAACCTCTTTATTCAGGACAATCTTTTTTTTTTTTTTTTTAATTGTGTCTTTTGGGTGATTTTGCATGCAAATTAAGTATTTTATATTGTTTTTAAAATTTCATTTGTACATTGTAAAAATAAATGGCAAATTCATGCTAATAAATAAAATTTAATTTCTTTTTTTTTTTTTTAGGGAAAAAGAGAAGAAGGGGAAAAAAAGAAAAAGAGGGAAAAAGGAATATTACTTCATTCCTAAAATGGGTTTCAATAATGGCCAATCAATATTTTGAGTGTTTAAAGTGGTTAATGCATATTTTATGTGTTTAAAATGGAGACCTCTATTGTGTTTATTTGTTCTGGCTCTGAGTTCAAGTCCTGGATATCATTATCAATTTGTTGTCTCGTTGAATCTAAATCTCATTATGTGTCTTATGTATCTGGGTGTTAAGATCTCTTATTGTTGCATTAATCCTTTTACCCTTGCATCCTTGTAGCTTTGAAATCTATTTTATTAAGTGTGAGAATTGCAACTCCTGCTTTTTATTTATTTATTTTTGCTCTCCATTTGGTTGGTGAGTTTTTTTCCATCCCCTTGTTTTGAGTCTTTGTATATCTTTAGATATATCGTTAGATTTTGTGGATAATATATATTTTGTGTGTTTAAAATGGAGAGCTCTATTGAGTTTATTTGTTCTGGATCTTAGTTCCAGTCCTGGATATCGTTATCAATTTTCTGTCTCGTTGCATCTAAATCTCATTATGGGTCTTATGTATCTGGGTGTTAAGATCTCTTATTATTACATTAATCCTTTTATCCTTGTAGCTTTGAAATCTATTTTGT